TATATTTTGAAAGACACTTGATAATATTTTTATGCTGTTTGACATAGGTGTTGTGAATAGAAAGTCTTTTTTTTTTTTTTTTTTTTTTGCGGTACGCGGGCCTCTCACTGTTGTGGCCTCTCCCGCTGCGGAGCACAGGCTCCGGACGCGCAGGCCCAGCGGCCATGGCTCACGGGCCCAGCCGCTCCGCGGCATGTGGGATCTTCCCAGACCGGGGCATGAACCCGCGTCCCCTGCATCGGCAGGCGGACTTTCAACCACTGCGCCACCAGGGAAGCCCAGAAAGTCTTTTTAAACCAATCACAACATGACACCCAGATACTCAGAAGTTAAGTGTTAGGAATAATCCACTGTTGAGCTGGAAAAGGGAAAGCCTTGAGCTGAACCAATTATTCTGACAACTTAGACAGGAAAAGGAGCTTAACTAAAGAATAGTTCTACAGTGGAGAAAGTGGGAGAAATTTGGCTAAAATTATCCCAGTTGAGTGTCTAGTTTGATCAAATCCTCAAAATAATGGCTGGGTTTTCTATTTCTTTCTACCTGACACCATGGGCTTTTTTGCAGTCTTGGAAGCATTGTGGGAAATAATTTAGTAATGCATTCTTGTCCATTATAAGATTTGCAGTGTTTTTCACCATGGCTTTGGGTGTTTTCTTTCTGTAATAACTTTGACCCTCACCTGGTATTTATCATTTACTCAATTGATGATCTATTTCTCACACAAATAATTTTGGGGGAAATTTTATGAAGCAGAAAACTTGCAGTGCTCCATGTAAAGTTCTGATATTTCCATAACCTTCACTAATAGTCTGCCCTGATTCTTGTGAGAAATTAACTTTTACCTCATTCTAAGACTCAATAACATGATAAAATGATGTTAAAAATAAGTTTAATTTACCTGAGAATGTTATCAAAGTATGCTAGATACCTGAGTCACATTCTAAAAATAATGTGAACAGAGTTGATTACATATATTAAACAAGAATATTTAATAAAATTTGTACTGGTGTAGATCCTTCTAGATCTTGAACAACATACTGTAAAATACTAATTTACTGTCTTCTATGCGATAGTTTGCATTCTGTTTTATTTAATCTCAGAATGTATACTTTAGACAAAAAGAACCCTCAGATGAAATAATATTGACTAAAGGGAAAACTGAACTGTAGTAATTTTTAAAGGAAATATAAGTATAGAATTTAACTGCATGCAAAGTCTTTAACCTTAAGTGTTTTCAAATGGATACCATTGTGTTTCATTGTATGCAATATTTCACTTTCTATGTGCATTTTAAGGGCATCTAATTTTGAAGAAAGCAAACAGAGCTACATGGAGAAGAATATGTCGAGATGTTTACTGCTGAGCATCTTGGGAGCTGGAACACTGACCTTGAAGATTCATTACTAATAATGAAAAGGTGGCATTATTTGTGGGTTCACATTAGGAATATTGAAATCTAAGAGCAAGTTGTGAAGCTCAGATTCTTTTAAAATCCCAAATTTAATTTTTCTTTGGGATTTAATATTAACAGTAGACAGAAGAATCAAATGGAGGAGACTGAAGATCATCTATGTTAGTTTGTTTGAGAGAGAACTAGACATTAAAAGCGTAGTGAAGCAAAAGAGAAGAAATGAATTAAATTCACAAAATACTATGATAATGTTCTTCAGCTGCTGAAGAACACAAGCAATAATGTTTCCAGCCATAGACATCTTAAATAAGAGCATTTGATATGTGACAGCTGTGGCAGTCAGATAAGAAAAGTATTGTGAAACAGTAGAGAAGTAATTTTCCTGCAACTTACTTAGAGTAGCCAGAGCTATAAAGGTGCTGGGAGAGGGGTGTGGGGGGCATAGAAAAATCAACCCCAGACCTGGAGAGAAAAAACTCAATACTTATTTTGTAAACATTATACATTGAAACAGTGATACCATTATTCCACTTCATTTCCCATGGTTTTGAAATATAAATCAGCCTAGTGAAGAATTCTCACTGATACCAAGATGCATTTCTTGGTAGTTGTCAAATGTTGTGAGACAGCTGTAAAACTGCTAAGAGTAATTCAGTTTTAGCAGATTCTAATGACATTTGTGTTGACAGAATAATATTCATGGCATGTAGCTGGACAGAGCCTCCTGGAGATCTAATAACCTCCTGGCCTAATGTGAATGCCTATTATATCTCCCTAAAGAAGCGAGGAGAGTTATTTGAAACAAGGTACAGAGACACACTGTCTTCTGTTTCTGAAATTTCCACTGGGCATCTAGCCTAGATATCAGTGCATTTACAAAGTATTACACACTTTAAAAAGGAAACACAAAATCTAACTATAGACCAGCAAATTGCTGGAGCATCTTTAAACTCTGTCCTCTCCCCAAGACTGCTGAGTACAGTTACAAGAGCAAGAAAAGGGGTAGAAGAGGAAAAAACATTTACCCTTCTATGAAGGATAGGCTATGAAATCATAGGGAAAAAATGTTCTGACAAAATACAGTGTCTAATCTTTTCAAAATACCCTGGATGCCCCTTTACCCTGAGTGCTTCAACTGTGAAAATAATATGACTTAAAAATTGTAAAATGCATCTTTTAAGAATTTGAGTTTTAAAGTAGATTAGCTATAACACTGTGGCTATTATTCCCACAGCTTCCCTGAGGGGCTTAGCTTACTTTCTCACGGAAGAAGTAATGCTGTGTATTACAACTCCTAGAAAGAACTCAGCCTGCTCTTGAAATAGCTACGTAGTATTCCAAAAATAAGAATTTTATGACTATGGGAATCCCAGGGTCAAAAATTTTGCCACCAGGGACCATAGTCCCATGCCAGCTTGCTTCCTCTTCTTTGAGGGAAGCCAGTGACTTTGATGCTGCTCTAAAGGCCAGTCTTTTTCAGAGGTGACCCAGAGGGCTTGTGGATCAGATAGAACGAAGGGGTATTTGCATAGGTCAGCAGAAGTGGAAAGAATAGAGAAGAAAATCAAAATGAAAGTCAAAAGAAAACCCAATTTATTCTGGAACATGTAAAATCAAATATAGAAAAACTGGGAAAACCTAGTTTCTCTATACAGCTAATGCTGTGAACCAAAATATGTTTTTTACTAATTCTTTTAAAGGGTCTGTTAAATCATCTGGCCTTAGAAATCTTCCTTTATCATTTATTTTTCTCTTCACGATATACCGGTAGAGTGCTTAGGATGTAACTTAAGTGAAAATAAATTCAGGAAGACTCGGTCGCCCCTGCCTGAGGCATATACTTCGTTTGCTCTGTTCACCTGGCACTTGTCACATACTGCCTTACTTCCTGATTTTATAAATTTGTCTTATTTCCCTTAATGAGGCATAAAATTCTTGAGCACAGGGATCCTGTCTTATTCAACTTGTCTCCTTCAAAGTGTGATAGATCCCAAAGGAGGACCAGAGATGGCAAGATAAACTGGATCCACAAAAGCACAGCCCGAAGAAAACAAAATCACGTCACAGAGAAATGCCCTTCATCTTCTCCTGCTCAGACACTGATGACTATTTCTACAGAAAGAGCATGAATATCCTGACAGAAAATTGGATGGATGTGGCCATAGTAATGGATTCCATTTTTAGAAACAAACACATAAAATTTTTAATATATTGGGACTTCCCTGGTGGCACAGTGGTTAAGAATCCACCTGCCAATGCAGGGCACACGGGTTCAAGCCCCGGTCCGGGAAGATCCCACATGCCGTGGAGCAACTAAGCCCATGCGCCACAACTACTGAGCCTGTGCTCCAGAGCTCGCGAGCCACAACTACTGAGCCCGTGTGCCACAAATACTGAGCCCATGTGCCACAACCACTGCAGCCCGCGTGCCTACAGCCTGTGATCCACAATGAGAAGCCACCACAATGAGAAGCCCACACACTGCAACTAGAAGCCCACACACGGCAATAAAGAGTAGCCCCCACTCACCGCAACTAGAGAAAGCCCGCACACAGCAACGAAGACCCAACACAGCCAGTAAATAAATAATTTAAAATGTAAAAAAAATTTTTAAATATAATTTTACTCTTATTTCCCAAAATAAATTGTATATTTAACCTCAGGGTTGCAGGGTGACAACCACAGTTATACATGTTTGGAAGTAAAAAATGTTTTTTCTATAATAGGCTAATATTTCTTCCACACCATTCAACTGGGAAGTAGAAGAAAAGAATACTTTCACTTGTTCATTAAGAGTGCATGTCATTCTTCTAGTATTTAAAGAGTAACGGCACTAACTGCCCCTACTTCAGATAAAGACTCGGTCTTTCCGATTGCAGCTCATGCCACCCTCCCACGAGCATGTACACAGCACACATATGTGCACACAGATACATACACATAGCTCCTCCACAAGATGGTGTCCAGGTGAGTGAAGAGGAAATTGGATGCCTTTTTAGCAAAGGGGAGAGAGAGACTTCAGTCCACAAGCTTTTATTTGCAGCTTCACTTGTCTTTGTTCCGAAGTACCAGTTGAAACTGTGGCTTGTTCTAACTACTCTGGAAGGACATCCCTTGGTGACTGGTGCTGTTGGTGCCTCTGAGTCCGAGCCTCAGCCATGCTGTGGCACCTCATGGGCCTCCGCCCAGCAGTGGATCTCTCAACATGGTGCTTCACTGGCAGACTTGTTGGCCCTTAGCTCAGGGACCTCCTGCTTCTGAATCCTTTCCATGACACACAGAAGCTTGAAAATGCCAACTCAGACCCACTTTCTGCCTCAGTCAACAATGCTGCTTCCACAGCTCAGTGGCCCTGATACAGCTGCCCCTTGGCAGATGGGCCCTGGGGCTTCACGCTTTTTATTACGCTGGTGGCAGTTCCTCTGCGGTCTCCATTGTTAATATGGGACCTGCCTGTGAACAGCCTTCTCCCAAAGTTCGAGTTAGAAAAAGGAGCGTAAATCCCTTTGATTTGTTTCCCCTTCAAATGATCTAAGAGCCCCGGCCTTCCCTTTCATTCTAGAAGAGAGAATTGAAAGAGAAACATACCTACTTTCTTTTCTTATCCTTTTCCTCGTCACCATTTCACCATCATTTAAGGAGCAGATTTCCCCTCTCTTTTGTCTTCTGGTTTAGAAGGAATTCACACTATATCACATCCTCTTCTTTCTCAAGGTACATTTGTTCTGCTTCCTTCCAGAGGCCTTGAGGGTGGACAAGGTGCAGAGAGAGAGGCTGGATAACGAATAAAGGCTTTGCCAAAAAAAAAGTTTCCTCATTATATAGCAAATGAGTGGCTTTAAAATCGGGTCCAAAAAAGGAAAACACTTGGTGAAACTGAATTATCCTTTTAACCACAGGCGACATCAGAAATCGTAGCGGAATCTAAAGCAGCCAATGTCAGTCCTTCTCTAGATGTTTGTATCAGGATTCTCACCACTGTGAAACAACTCTTCCCATAAGGGTGGTTGAACACAGCTGCAAAGTCTGCTCTTGAAGGCATGAGGTATTCAACCACAAACAATTTTTTCTCAAAATATCATAGTGGTTGTATCATGAAAAAATCATTCATATGATATTACCTTAAATGTTTAAGAATAACAGTGAAAAATAGCACTGCAGTATTAACTAATAACAACCACGAAAAATTTTTAGAAACACTGAAGAATTTAGTTGGATTATGCCCAATTACATTATCAACTGGAAAATATTTTTGTACAGGAATAATATGAAAAACATGGATCTAATCCAGAAAATCTACTACCTAATAAAATGAAGTAACACCTTTTAAAATTTTTCAAAATAACCTTAATTTAAGACCTAACTCCATGGCAGAGTGAGAAGAGGTGAGTCTAATTCTAGAATCAGTACTATTTCCTTAGTTCAGTTCCATTCAGCTAGTGCCGTCAGCACGATCTGTATGCTTTTTCCCTGGGCCTAACTCTCAGTTTAGCTAAATGTTTATTGATTCTTTGCTAACTGTCCAGCATTCTGATAAGCATCAAAGATTGAGCAGTCCCTGCTCACAGGGTGCTTTATAATCAGTAGGGAGAAATAAATGTACAGTTAATGATAATTCAAAGTACAGTAGGGCACATGTCACAAGAACAGTATAAAAAGATTAGCTAAGGACCATGCAGATTCCATTACTGATGTTTCTTTTCAAGTTTTATTTTAAGAACTTTATTTGGTATGTGTTGTTAGTGGAGTTTATCCAGACTACAACAATTTTAGAATATTACCTTAAAAGTTTATTTATTGATAGGAAGTCTCTTAGAAGAGTAGCTGGTTAGGGAGAAGGAGGTAAAGACATTAACTTGTAGGATACAAAACTGATAAAACTATTATTCTTAAACCTCCATATATTATCACAAAGGAGAGACTATAGGAGCAGTTTTATTTTTTTCTACAAACAACCATCAAGATACACTTCACCTGTTTAAAACATCTATTCTCCATCAAATAAACCCTTATAATTTATTTTAACCTGTTTTTATCTGTATTGTTGTATAGGGAATATAGTATTTCCCTAGATTTTATATTCACTTAAGAGTTTCGTGGCACTTGTTATTAACTGTTCAGATTGACATATGTAGACCTAGGAGAAAGATAAGTGACTGTATTCTGCAGCACTAAAAAATATAAAAATAGGGGCTTCCCTGGTGGCACAGTCCTTGAGAGTCTGCCTGCCGATGCAGGGGACATGGGTTTGTGCCCCGGTCTGGGAAGATCCCACATGCCGTGGAGCGGCTGGGCCCGTGAGCCATGGCCGCTGAGCCTGTGCGTCCGGAGCCTGTGCTCCGCAACGGGAGAGACCACAACAGTGAGAGGCCCGCGTACCACAAAAAATAAATAAATAAATAAAATAAAAAATAAATAAAAAAGAAGAAAATAAAAGAAGAAGTCAATGTCATTGTGCCAAGTTACCAGATGGAAGAAAATAAAGATTAGAGCAGAGACTAATGGAAAAGAAAACAGAAAAACAATACAAAATATTAACAAAACTAAGAGTTGGTTCTTTGAAAATATAAACAAAACTGACAAACTGTTAAGCTAGAGTAGACAAGAAAAGAAGAAAGATGATCCAAGTATATAAAATTATAAATGGAAAAGGAGACAACTGATACCACAGAAACACAGAAGATAATAAGAGACTACTATGAACAATTCTACCCCAACAAACTGGACAACCTAGAACAAATGGATGAATTCCTAGAAATATACAACCTACCAAGACTGAATCATGATGAAATAGAAAATCTGAAAAGATCAATGAGTAAGGAGTGAAGGAGTAACCAAAAACCTGCTAATAAAGAAAAGCCCAGGACCAGATAGATTCACTGTACAACTCTACAAAACATTTAAAGAAGAATTAATGTCTATCCTTCTTAAACTCTTCCAAAAAATTGAACAGAAACATTTTCATACACATTTTATGAGGCCAGAATTACCATTATACTAAAGCCAGATTAGCACACTAAAAGAAAATAAAATTGCAGCAATTTGCCTAATATAGATGCAAAAATTCTCAACAAAATTGTAGCAAACTGAATTTAATAGCATATTTAAAAGATCATACACTGTTATCAAGTGGGATTTATCCCTGGGATGTCAGAATGCAAATCACCCAGTGTGTTATACCACATTAATAGAATGAAATAAAAATCATACGATCACCTCAATGGATGCAAAAAAAGCATCTGACAAAATTCAACATCCATTCATGATAAAAATTCTTAACAATTTAGGTAGAGAAGAAACGTACCTCAACATAATAAAGGCCATGTAAGACAAGCCCACAGCTAACATCATACTCAACAGTGAAAGATTAAAAGCTTTTCCTCTAAAATCAGGAACAAGACAAAGGAGCCCACTCTCACCACTCCTACTCCACATAGAAATGGAAGTACTAGTCAGAGCAATTAGGCAAGAAAAAGAAATAAAATGTACCCAAATTGAGAAGGAAAAAGTGAAATTGTCCCTGTTTGCAGATGACATGATCTTAAATATAGAAAATCCTAAAGAATCCACCAATTTTTAGAACTAATACCAGAATTCAGTGAAGTTGCAGGATACCAAACCAACATACAAAAATCAGTTGTGTTTCTGTACACTAACAACGAACTATCTGAAAAAGAAATAAAACAATCTCATTTACAATAGCATCAAAAACAGTAAAATAATTAAGAATAAATTTAAACAAGGAGATAAAAGATCTGTACACAAAAAACTATAAAACACTGATGAAAGAAATTGAAGAAGGCACAAATAAATGGAAAGGTATTTTGTGTACATGTATTAGAAGAATTAATACTGTTAAAATGCCCATACTACCCAAGGCTATCTATAGTTTCAACGCAATCTCTATCAAGAATCCAATGGTATTATTTACAGAAGCAAAAACAATCCTAAAAATTATATGGAGATAAACATAAGATCTTGAATAGTCAAAGTAATCTTGAGAAAGAAGAACAAAGCTGGAGGTATCATGCTCCCTGATTTCAAACTATTTACAAATCTACAGTAATCAAAACAGTACAATACTAGCATAAAAACAGACACATAGACCAAAAGAACAGAGTTGAGAGCCCAGAGACAAACCCAAGCATATATGGTCAATTAATTTGACAAGGAAGCCAAAAATACTGTATTGGAAAATGATAGTCTCTTCAATAAATGATGCTGGGAAAACTACATCTTAACACACAAAAGAATGAAACTAGACCCTTATCTTACACCACTCACAGAAATTAACTCAAAATGGATCAAAGACTTAAATGCAAGGTCCGGAACCAAAAAACTCCTACAAGAAAACATAGGGGAAATCTCCTTGACATTACTCTTTGCAAAGATGTAATGGATATGACACCAAAAGCAAAAATAAATAAGTGGGATTACATCAAATGAAAAAGTTACACAACAAAAGAAGCAATCAACTAAATGAACCTACAAAAGAGAAGAAAATATCAATATCTGCAGACTATATATCTAATAACAGGCTAATATCCAAAATAGATAAGGAGATCATACTTCTCAATGGCAAAAAACAAAAAGTCCACAAATAATAAGATGGACAAAGGACCTTAATAGACATTTTTCCAAAGAAGATATCTGAATGACCAACAGCTATATGAAAAAATGCTCAATACCAGTAATCATCAGGGAAATGCAAATCAAAGTCACAGTGAGATAGCACTTTATACCTGTTAGAATGGTTATGATCAAAAAGACAAGAGAGGGGCTTCCCTGGTGGCGCAGTGGTTGGGAGTCCGCCTGCCGATGCAGGGGACACGGGTTCGTGCCCCGGTCTGGGAAGATCCCACATGCCGCGGAGCGGCTGGGCCCGTGAGCCATGGCCGCTGAGCCTGTGCGTCCAGAGCCTGTGCTCCACAACGGGAGAGCCCGCAACAGTGAGAGGCCCGTGAACCAAAAAAAAAAAAAAAAAAAAAGACAAGAGAGAAAAAGTACTGATGAGGATGTGGAGAAAAGGGAACCCTTATCTGTTGGTGGGAATGTGAATTGGTGCAGCCACTATGGAAAACAGTATGTAGGGTCCTCAAAAAATTAAAGATAAAATTACATATGATCCAGCAATCTCACTTCTGGGTATATATTTGAAGGAAATGAAATCACCATCTTGAAGAGATATCTGCACCTCCATGTTCACTGCAACATTTTTTACAATAGCCAAGACATGGAAATAACCT